CCTGGGTTTTTCCCAAAATTTTTCCTTTTTTTTTTTTTTTTTTTTTTTTTTTTTTTTTGGTACTGGAGATCCAACTTGGGTCCTTGTGCTTGCAAGACATGCGGCAGAACTACTGAGCTAAATCCCTGGCCTTTGCTCCTCTTTGAGCATGTCCCCAAAGGCAAGCACTGGAAACTTCAGCCCTGTGTGGAGGCACTGGAAGGTGGGGCCTCACTAGAGCTCTTTGGTCCTGGGAGGGGCATCCTCATGGATGGATTCTGATAGTAAAAGAGTCCATGAGCTGACTTCAGTCTTGAGCTCTCCCACCTTGCATCATGGAGTGATGGCCTTCAGAGACCTGCCCAGATGTGGGCCCTGGACCTTGGATTTCCTGCTTCCAGAACCATAAGAATTGTAAGAAATGTCTCTGTTCCTTATGAATTGTCAGGGCCTGACATCTTGTCACAGATGACACTGCCCATCCCCTCGCAAGAGCGCCATCCGTGTGGTTGAGATACCTTCATGGCGGGAGGTCAAAGTCTCTCTGCAGGACCTTCAGACACTGTGCTGTATTAAGTTAACACTATCAAGGATGGAATTCAGCACTAACGTATCTAAATTGGGATTCTCACTGGTAATTAGGAGCATTCTACTTATTTAACTCAATAGCCAGGGAGGAGAGTTGAACGAGCCAGAAGGGAGGCAACAGTATCTGATTTTTTGGCCGACATTCTAGTGTCACATTGCAGGAGGGTCAAGATCTTGACTTTATTTAGAAGCTCCCAAGATGTTGTGTGACCTGTGAAGCACTAGCTGCTTGGCGGCCGTGGGCTGGTGGCCATCACCCCCTCAGCTCTGGGGTGCCGACACTGCTGTCCTGGGACCCTGCATTCTCTGCTGACCTCAGTCCCTCCCAGGAACCCAAGCTGGTATCCTCTCGGGGGCCACCCTGCTCCTTAAGGGGACCCCTAGAGACTCAATGACTGAGATGGTGGCTCAGGCCATGGAGGAGGAGGCAGCAGCACTATCTGAATTGGAAGATGGGCTCAGACTCTAGGGGACCTCAAAAACCTGCCTCTCCAAACTGCTCCACATCTGGGCTCTCTCACTTTGGCATGGGGACCAGCCACAAGTGATTGGTGCAGTAGGGAGCTGGCAGCCTACTCCATACCTGCCAGCCACACTCCTGAAGCTTCTCTAACTGTGCTGAGCCTCTGGCCTCAGTTTCCTCATTTGCAGTGTCTGACAATGACAGCATCCTTGACCGCGTGATGAGGATGAGAACAACTTTTCCAGCATGCACCTGCACCAGGACCAACCCACAAGGGGCAGGTACAGAGTCCACAGTGACAGCTGTCCCACAGTGGTGGTAGGGACTGCATGTTGGAGTTGACTCCTGCTCCCCTGTGTCCAGCATCTTACGGCCACCTTGGGTTCCGGTGGGGGCTGTAGGTGGGAGTCTCCCTGGCAGACCTCTGCTCAAGCGATGCTAATTGTGCAGAGAGAACGGCTCACTAGAGTGGAAAATAGTCCTCATATATCTAGCTGAAGATGATAATGACCTTTCAAATAACAGAAGCAATTTTATTTCAATCCCTCAATTACTCTGAACTCTCAAATGTCAAAGTGCTCGGCACTCTCAAAATAGCTTAATATAGACATTTATAGCACTTAGACACAGCTAGTTTCTTATCTAACCTAATTATGTGTTGTACAGGAAATGGCGACACTGGCCCTAAGTGTCATTTTTCACAGCTGTCCTCACGTGCAGCCGGCTGGGTTGTCACCATGGAGGAGGCCCATGTGAGTCGTGCTGGGCCAGGTCACCAGCTGAGGAGGTTGGCAGCAGGCAGTCCAGTTTGAGGACTAGCAGCTTCATAGTTCCCCCTCTCAAGGGGCAGCTCTTGCTCAAGTGGGGCATGTGGTCCCTAGGACAGAAGTGGCCAGCAAGTAACCCAGTGTTCCACAGAGCCAGAACAGGAGAGGTTCCACAGCCTGGGCCCTGGTATGGCCATGGGCATTGTGTCTTCCTGTGATCAGAGGAAGCCTCCTCCCACTTCTCCACATACAGCCCAGGGGCTGCCCTGCTGACCAGTGCTCAGTGACCCTCCCCTTGTTTCCTGTGACACTGTGGCCCCTGCTGCTGTCCCTCACTCTGAAGGTTCCCTGTCACCTCAAACTGTTTCAAGTACTGCTTACTTCTTCCTGTCTATCCCTGTGCCTGGAATACCCCCTAATCCCCATGGGACTCCCTCCCTTGCTAAATGTCACCTTTGAAGGAGGCTGCTCTGTCCCCTGCTGTGTTTCTCATCCCCAGTACTCCCTCACCCCTTCCCTGGAGGGGCATAAGCAGCATGGTGTATCGTGTCTCTCATTCTGGGAGAAGTGCTGGCCCCTCACACTCTTGGGGCTACAGTGGCCCTCTCAGCACCCTGCCTTGCACTGAGGCCCCATGCTCCCTCCACAGGCAGGTGGCAAGGCCTGAGGGAGTGAACCAGGGTAAGGCTGGTGCAGTTCTATGTTCCAAGTTGCAGGTTGCAGCCTTGGGCATGGGTCTAGCCCATGCTCTGTACACCAGCCAGGGCAGGGGATGCACCACACAATCTGTGTGTCATCCAGACAGGGCTGTGTGTGATCGTGCACATTCATTCACTTGTTCATCCATTCATTCATCCAGTTGGCCTTTCTGGAGCTTCCCATGGGGCCAGTTCCTGCTGCACAGGACAGAGAGGGCTGAATACACAGGGCATCCTCTGACCTTAAGGCCCTCAGA